GCAGGAGAGAGGTCAGTAAGAACCATAAACGTAAGGATATGACTCATAAGGTATACGTAATACTTCTGTTCACATCTAGCTGCAAGGAAGGCTGGGGAATGTAGTCTTGCCTATGTGGTCATATGCTCTGCTAAAACTCAAGAGTTCTATTATGAAAAGGAAGGAGAGGATAATAAAAAGGGAGGAGAGAATGGATATTGGAGGAAGTTGAGCACTATCTTCACTATAAGGTCTAGTATATAAAAGGAGATCCAAAGAGAGAACCAGAGAAAATAGTGCGGAGAGAATCAGCAAAGAAGTATGTGAGTAGGTTTTGCTGTGGTAACAAACAACCCCTAAATCTTAATAGCTTATAAAAACAAAGGTTTGGGGCACCTGGGTGGCTCAGTCGGTTAAGGACTCTTAACTGACTCTTGATTTCGGCTCAGTCATGATCTCAGGGTTGTGGGATTGAGCCCCACGGTGGGCTCTGTGAGATTCTCTCTTTCCCTCCCCCTCTGCCACTCCACCTGCTCATGCTCTCTCTCTCTCTCAAATAAATAAATAAATCTTAAAAAACAAAAACAAAAAAACCCAACAAAGTTTTATTTCTTTCTCAAGTTGCATGTCCATCACAGGTCAGCTGGAGGTTCTGTTCCATGCTTTCTCAAACAGGCTGACAGAACTTCCATCATCTAGAAGGGTGAGAGGAACTGAGGGAGGAGGGGAAACCTGGTGAATCATACACTGATTTCTAAAGCTTCAACCTGTCATTTTTGCTCACATTTCACTGTCCAAATTAAGTCAAATGGCTAACCTAAGCATACAGCAAAGTGTAATCCTACTATGTGCCAGAAGGAGAAAAACTGGAAATGGTCAGTGAATGATTAATGACTACTACAGCTCATCTAAATATGTGATTGACTCTCCTTCCTGTGGGCAAAATACACTCATCCCCCCACCCCCTTCCAAGTGAGACAACCTAAAAGTCCCATCTTGTTATAGCACAGAGCTCAACATCTAGAATCTTTAAGTGATACACGGTAGTCTCTACAACAGATTCAAATGGGTTCATCTTGGTCCAGAGATCTAACTAAAAAGCCACGTTATCTCTCCTCATAAACCGGTGGAACAGAATCAGGATAATCTCAGAAATGGGATGATTGCAGATACATAGCAGATAGTGGCTCACTGGTCAGACCTTAAAATTATGGCCACAAATCTCAAATAGGTACTCAATAATGCCTGGTAATCTTATTACACTTATCTAATACGTTCACTTTTTCACTATCCAAAACAATTATTTCATCTTCTTTTCAAGTCTCAGACTTTTTATACTCCACACCTCTCTAAATGAAATAATCTTTCGATAAATCTGCATCTATTAAGTGCCAAGCATTGTTCTAAGTATTAGAGACAAAGCAGTGGACAAAACGGTCAGTCTTTGCTCTCAAGGAGCTTAAATTTCAGTGGAAGGAGGCAGAAAATAAATAACTATAGGATTAAATATGGTATTAAGTTCTAGGGAGAAAAATATAGCAGGTTAGGGGGAAAGGGCAGGCTGGTAGGAGTGGCAGATCATGTAGATCCTTCTAGGACATAGTAAAGACTGCCTTTAACTTTGAGTGAGATGTGTAGCCACTGGTAGAGTCAGAGCATAAAGAGTGACATGATCCAACTTAGGTTTTCAAAGGATCACCGCCTGTAATGGTGAGAACAGACCATAGGGGAGAAAGGTGTTAGCAGGGACAGTGGTTATTGGCCTGGGTCTCTGGGCCTTGTCTGATCATCTTTGATTATCTTCTTGGCTTACATCCTTACTTTCCCCCAATTCCACATGTTCTTTTTTTTTTTTTTTTTTAAGACTTCATTTATTTGACAGAGAGAGACACAGCAAGAGAGGGAACACAAGCAGGGGGAGTGGGAGAGGGAGAAGCAGGCTTCCCGTTGAGCAGGGAGCCCGATGTGGGGCTTGATCCCAGGACCCTGGGATCACGACCTGAGCTGAAGGCAGACGCTTAATGACTGAGCCACCCACCCAGGTGCCCCAATTCCACATGTTCTAAAGGAAATAACTATTAAAGTATAATTTTCAAAAACCTAAAAACATGACTCTTATACAAATACAAAATAAAAATGTGTCAAATATTTATGAATTCATTATGTCTCTCAAACTGGATATAGACATTGAAAAAAGGAAAGAATATTAGAATTAGATTGCCAGGTTAGATATAAACTTATTAATGATCCTCAGGGTAATCAAACCATAACCTGCAGGGTTATCTTTTCTAGCAGAGAGCAATCTACGCATTAACATGTAACTTCATAGTGTTTGAGTTCTAATTAAATAGTAAAGAGCCAAACATACATTTATTCTCCTAGACTTGAAAATTAAATAATCCTTGCTTGAACCTGTTGAACAATATTCTAGCATACTGACTCTCTTTTGCCTTACTTCCAAATTTTGGGTAAATCAAAAAAAATTTTTTAAATTGGCATATAATATTGCTTTTTCTTCCTTTTTTATTGAAAAATAGTTGACATATGACGTTACATTAGTTTCACGTGTACAACACAGTTATTTGACATGGGTAAATTATCTTTTCTTTCTTACTTTCTGGTACAACAAGATGATCCAGGCTAAACTCGTACTTTTCCTGCCCTAGTCGTGGAATCAGTTACTTCTCCAAGTAGTGGAGAAGTAATTCCCTTTAGTGGAGAATAATATTTAGAAGCCACCATCTGGGCCCTATAAATACTCATTATTATTAATGGGGTGCCTCTGCTACTAGGCCTTCTCAGTGGACAAAGCCAAGGAAAACACAAACACACAGAGTGCATGCATGCATAAATATATAAATATACATACATATACATTTACATCTATAATTATTTCTATATTTATATGTATTCCAGTCACTGATATTGCTAATTCTAGCAATATCTAGCTAATTCTAAACCAACACTACAGAATTCATTCTACTTTTCTCCAGTTTTTTCTTTTTTTTTTAGGGGGGGCAGAGAGGGGACGGAAAGAGAGAGAGAGAATCTTAAGCAGGTTCCACACCCAGCAAGGAGCCTGAGGTAGGGCTCAATCTCATAACCTTGAGATGATGACCTGAGCTGAAATCAAGAGTCAGATGCTTAACTGAGCCACCCAGGCACCCCGACTTTTCTGTTTTCATATTCGTACTCCCTTCTCTGACAGGAAGAAACTGGACTCCCATTATCCTTAATATAGTTTCTTATTTGATCAATCCTTCTGAATGTAAGCAAACTCCCACTCAGTGCTGCCCCTTCCCCTGCATAGAAACTCTTTTTACCCTACCCACGATCCAATACTCTGCATCATGCTTTCCCCCCATCCTCCAGTGTCCTTGAAGAGAAGGGAGAGGGAAAAGGGCTCATGATTTCTTTAACATTCTCTTTTCACCCATTCTTTTATTCTTACAAACAATACTTCAATTAATAATCATGTCTATATATGCTTAAAGTAAATTCCTAGAAGTGGACTTGCTGGGTCAGAGTATGGGCATTTGTAATGTTGTTGACTGTGCCACATTACTTTTCATAGAGTTTGAACAATTTACTCATGATGATGCCTGAAATAACTCTTAAGAATGGTAATTCTAATGCATAGGAAGACCTAAAAGTTACAGGATAACATTTGAGAAAAATTAAGACAACTTATTTTTTCTTCTCTGGAAATACATTTGTTATATAAGTCAAGTTTCCTACTAGTTCAGTTTCCTGGTAAAGAAAATGAAAACAAAATTTAGCCACCGCAAGCAAATTTAGGAATACAAAACAATAACCAAACAGATTGGGTAACAAGTAACTTTAAGAATCCTCAGAAACATAAATTAGTACCATAAGCTGAATGGGAGTTAGTACAGTAGCTCTGCAATTTACAAGGCAAAAATGAAAGCAGGAGCGTACAAAACAGCCGGGAAATATTTTTTCTACCAAACTTGTTCGTCAGATACTTGTTAGAAAACCGTTTTCCAGGTCATTAGCTTACATCCTACAGCCCAGCAATGGCATCTGGCACTTGTTAGAGAGTGTCCCCTGCCATCGCCTCGGGCATGTCAGAAATTGGGAGTTTGCAGTTATGAGGTTTGCCCAGGACTTTCCAGGGTTTTGCACGGGATGCAGGTTTGTGCTGCACCTCGAGAACCCCTTCAGTCCCAAGCAAACCTGGATATTAGCCACCCGAGGACCAGGCTGCTACACAGTGAGAGAACCTGCGCTGTCCAACACAGCACCACGAGCCAGATGGGGTTATCTGCAGTTAAATTAAGTACAATTAAAAATTAAGTTCCTCGGTCGCAGCAGCTACGTTATCACCCACCGCTCAACAGCTACAAGTGGCTAGTGGCTACCGTATTAGAAAATGTAGATCTAGAATTCTTCCATTATTGTACAAGGACTAATGGACAACGCTGACGTTGACAGTTTCAAGTTAAAAGAAAAAAAAGCTCGGAAGCCACTAGGCTCCACCACCCAAAATAATCAACAGATGTTATTACTCTTTCCAAACAGGATGAAGGAGGAAATTATGCTAAGAAACCACCAAGCAAAAACCTGCAAAGGCACCTGCCAGCAGGCTTTCTCAAGGAACTCACTCGTAATTCCCACGGCGGAGGCCGTCCGGCTTTCTGCGGTGTGAAGTAACTCCTCAGACTTCTAGAACGCTGGGAACTCCCAAAGCGGTGGGCGACCGAGGGCCCAGATCCCCGAGATTCAATTGTTCGACGTGGTGGACGCCTGTAGTCACAGGGTGGGCGAGCCTCCGCTCGATGGTCCACAGCCTGACGCCGCCCTCGGGCTCGCATCCTTTCAGTCAGGTGCTTGTAGCCGGCTGGGAGCGCGAACCCGCCTGTGTGTGCGCGCTTCCGCACGCGCGCCGGCCCGAGGGCCGCGAGAGGCTCTCGGCAGCCAATGGGGCGGGGCGCTGCGCGCCGAAGGCGGGGCCATGACGCGCGCGCCTCGTGACCCCGCTCGCGGCCTGCGCCGAGGAAGCCGGAAGCGGCGGCGGTCGCCAGCACCGGCTGGGGTTGGAGTGGCGGCAGTGAGTGCCTTCGGGTTTGTAAACCCCGCAATGGGTCCGGACGCGACAGTCGCGTGGCGGAGGTCGTTGCTTCTGCCGCGGCTGCTGCTGGTGCCGCTGCTGTGGTCGGGGCTGGCTCTGGGCGCTCTCGCCTTGGTCAGCAGCCCCCACAGGGTCCTTCACGACCTCCTATCGGAGCAGCAGTTGCTGGAGGTGGAGGACTTGTCCCTGACCCTGCTGCAGGGCGGAAGGCTGGGGCCGCTGTCACTACCCCCGGACCTGCCGGATCTGGATCCCGAGTGTCGGGAGCTGTTACTGGACTTCGCCAACAGCAGCGCAGAGCTGACCGGGTGTCTAGTGCGCAGCGCCCGGCCGGTGCGCCTCTGTCAGACCTGCTACCCCCTCTTCCAACAGGTCGCCAACAAGATGGACAACATCAGTCGAGCCGTGGGGGTGGGTAGAGGAGCACACTCGGGACCTCCAGCGTGGAGGGTTGGGAAAGGAGGATGTAATGATGGTTTACTCTGGGGCCCTCAGTTTCCCTGTTTGTAAGGAAAAGGGATTAGACTGGGACTGTGCAGTTTGGGGCATCAGAAGAGTGGGTGGCATTATAGGTCTTGGAGTTTGGAGTTTTGCCTTCATGGCTGCTGTTGGGCATCTTCTTGATATATGTTTGCAGATAGGTATGGCTGTTTTTTGGGGGGGGTCCTGTGCCCTTAACCCTACCTTTCGTTTCCCTCCTTTACTCTCCTCACCCCACTCTGACACAGCTTCTTCCCATCTCTATCTGGTGTTTCCAGGAAGGACCCTTTCCTGAAACTACAAGTAGAGGGGGGAAACAATAGTGTGGTAGTGCTTAGGAGGTTTGAGCTTTGTAGCCAGATAATATCAGATCCACCACTTTATAGCAGCTTGGGCTTGGATTAATTATCTTGTAGTCTTAGTTTACTCCTCTGCAAAATGGAGAAAAACAGCTGCCTGATGTGACTGTTACAAAGATTAAAAGAGATAACATGTGAGAGCTTATCTTAGTGATTAAGACAGTCTGTGGCTGGTCTGCCGGGAGTCCAGTTCCTATTAGCCGGCATATTCTGGGCAAGTTACTTAAATTCTCTATGCCTGTTTTCTTATCGATAAGATAAAAGGAGCTCTTAGAAAACTAGCACGTAGTAGTAATTCTCAGTAAATGGGAGCTAAAATTTTAAGAAGTGGTATATCTGCCCTCCATTTTTGGTACTCTTAGCACTTTTCTGGTCATGTGGTACGTCCTGTGAGGGGTTTAATAAAAAAGAGAAAGGGAGAGAATACATGTTCCTGCTAATAAGAAACTTACAGGGTCTAGAGCAGTAAAGGATAAGAGTGTCAGGGCTGGTAGGAGTCATGAGGTGTGGGCTGGATATGCCTTGTAAAGGAAAAACATGAAGAATGACGTTGGGATTGTGGAGAGGGAAAGTTCCTCTTGTATTGAGAGGACAAATAGTCTCACGAAAATGTGATTGGAATTATTTCATAAATCATAGTTTATCTGACAAAATACGAACTTATATAGAGTTGCATCCTGCTTTAAGTCAACCTGATATTACTTAACAAATTATTATTTTTTACATAAATAGGAAATTTATTTGCATTAAATAAATTATGTGGGCAATCTTTCAGTAAAGAGCTAGTTTTCAAGTTTGGAAAAAACAAGTAAAACCAATGAATCACTGAAGTAGCAATTAGTAAAAGTTCATTGTGCACACAACAAAAAGTTTGCAAACTGGGAGCACTCAAACCAAAAGATGGAATGAGGCTCAGAGATGCATTGTTATAAAGCAATGTACATAGTATGCAAGAGTGACTGCGTTAATTCTTCACAGATTTGGTTTCAGTATAGGAATTTTCTTTTTACTTTTCATAGGGATTTTCTTAAAGAGAATTGGTTAGTAATTACCTCATATCAATTTTGGGGAACAGGAGAAGTCTGGTTTATGATTTTCAAAGAGATAAACAAGAAGAGGCCCAGGTCATGTTAGCCTCACTTGTCTTGCAAAGTAAGCTAAATTAAGCTTTTGTTTGTATGACTAAACTGGTTTTGTCTCATCAGGGAATGTTCAAGTCTGGTCTCTATTTGCATTTGATTTTAACATGGTTTAAATAAATTTAGGCTTACCTGCAATATTTTTCAGGCATACTTCTATTAGGTATAGCAAGGCAGATGTATATCCCTATCCATCTGTCTTTCTATGATTTAAAAATAAAGTACCCAAGACTTGTCCCTGTCACTATAGCAAGGTATGATATGACATCATATTCTATTTTGAGCAATTAGGTGAGTTGTTTTATGGCCAAGATACTGAATCATGATGCAAAGTTTGGATCTTTTGAAGGAGCAAATGCTTTCCTTATTTGTGTAGATACTGTGGAATTAAGAAGAGGTTAAAAAATAACCCCAAACTCTAGTGGTACAGTATTATGGTCATCACCCAATCTGTGCTTGAATTTCCACATGAATTCCTCATTGCCCAAGAGAGGCTTGGTGGGGGGTGGGGGTGGGGCAGAAACTTCCTTCCTCTTATTTGTGCCCGTCAGATTCTGCCAGTGATTTGGGTACCAGGCTCACTTTACCTTTGTGTGAAAGGAAGAGAGTAAAGAGTTTAAAAAAAAAAAAAGGCAGAAAAACCCTTTACTCAATCTGGATTTCCTCTCCAATCCATCCTAGACCTTGATCTCTTTCCCTTCCTTTCCTCAGTAGAGGTGGATGTGCTTTGTTGCTCAAAAGCATGATTTCTATGGTTCTGAGATACTTCATGGATTTAATAGGCTTTCTTGGATTGGTTTGGGTATGGAATCATCATGTGTAATAATGAACTTATGGGAAAAAAGTGTTCTGAGTTTCTTAGAAGTGAACTTGAAGGAATCAGTTGTTCTTTGTGTGTGTGTGGGGGGGGTTATTTCTAGGGAGTAATGTATTTGACTCACATAGGCTCAATCTTTCCTTTAAGTCAGTTTAATCAGCAAGCACATGCTATTCTTAAATATTGGGCTGGTAAAATGATACAGAAGGAAAAGGATGATAAGGCCCAACCTTCAAACTATCAGTATAGTTGGGGAAATAAACCTATTTTGAGAAAAAGAAAAGAGGAAAAAATCATCAATGTGAATATTATATTTTGTACAATAGCAATTTACAGCAAAAGGGTTAAAGGAGATGCTGAATTAAAGGAGGGGACAGAGCAAGGTGGGGTTAATCAAAGAAAACCTATAAGCTGAATTTTGAATAAGATATCCTTTATCATCTCTTCAGGGTGAATCCATGTCCATGGATTGATTGAGAGAGGAGGGAAGTATAACAAGGAGAAAAAGAATCAAAGGTAGAAATTTGCGAGCTATTTCTCTGGTACCGCAAGCTAATTCATTTAGTTTAACAGAATTGTCTGATGAGAATTCTATTTTCTTGTCACTTCCTCTTGGAATTACTGAGACAAGGACCACATATAGTTTTATTACCTGAAGGTAAAGAATACAGTGATTTGTGAAACTTGAATGGTATAACTGACAGATTTCCTCTTCCTTAGAGTCATACTTTCTTCTTTTAGTATAAACCAATAGTGGTTTCATTGAGCTGTTCAGCATCCTCAGAGAAGTTGCCAGGATACTTTGACTCCCAAACTCTGAATTGCTTAGCTCTATCTCATTCTACTTGGTTTGTTTAAAATTTATATAAATAGGTATAGATATACAAAGATATGTATATATATTTATGTAGGTGCTAGTGATTAGAGGTGTGTACCTGGAACTGTTCAACATACTTTTTAAAACTATAGACTGATAAAGTCTTAGGAATATAGGGAGAAACTCAGAACATAGAATAACATAATAATCTTTTATTAGTGATCAGAAAATAATGCTTCTTATGCATTCATTCAAGAAAATTATTGAGTACCTACTATGTGCAGGCTAGTAGTAGTTACTAGGGATATAGCTGTAAATAAGCAGACCTTGTCGTCTGGTAGGGAAAACAGATACTAAGCATATAATAATACAAGTAATTATTTAATTCAGGTGTGATAAGTGTTGCACAGTAAAAAACCCCAGATGCTACCAAAGCATATAAGGGAGCTAATCTTGACTAGGGCTGGTGGTAGGTTGAGTGGTCAGTGGTTAAAGCTGATATTTAAAATCTGAGAGGGTGTGGGGCAGAGGTGAGAAGGTATACATGTAAAAAGTAGCAGGTGTGAAGACTCTGAGTCTGGTGTGTTTGAGCACTAGAAAGAACTCAGTAGTATGAGTCAGGAGTACACTAGTGATCTGAGCCTGAAGAAGTGGGCAGGTACCCTGTCATGTGGGCCTTATTAGGTATGTTAAGGGTTTTAGACTTTCATGTTGAAGCAGTGAGATGTTATTGAGAGGTTTAATTCTGTAGAATGACGTGATCAGATTTGTACTTTAAACAACCATTCTGGTTACGTGAGAAAAAGTGGAGGGAACGGGATGGGGAGGATAGGGGAAGAATACGTGTGGGAGATGAATTAAGAGACTCTTGCAGTGTTGTAAGAAATGGTGGCTAGGCTACATGGGGACCATTGTGATGGAGGGAAATGGATAGATTTCAGAGATATGTAGGAGGTAGAATTGACAAGACTTGGTAGTTAACCTCTGGGGAGGTTCTTGAAGTCCCAGTGTTTATGGCATTATATTTTCTGTATCCTCAAAACTCCAGGATTCTTAGAGTGCCTGGTAAGTAAGTAGTAGGAGTTAAATAACTTTGAAAGAATGAAGGGTCAGCATGACTTAATTCCTTGCTTGGGGCAAAAGGGAAAAGAAATCGATAAGGATTAAATAATTTAGGAACTTGGATTTACTTTTTTGCATACTGTGAGTTTCATTATTAAAATGATCTGTGGAAAGCATATTCTATGTGGGTATAAACTATTTGGGTACAAATTTGTGTGTCCCATTTTTTTGTGATTTATAAGGTTTTGAACCAAAAATTTCCCAGAAGATGAAACTTAAATATTTTGTAATCAAATTGTAGAAAAATTTAGTGTAAAAGAGGCAAAAAAGAAAATGAAAATCACATTTCTGTTATTCAGAGATAACCAGTGCTACATTTTGATGAAAGCTTTCCAGAATTTTTTCCTATGTATAAAAAGTAAGAAATATGATGCGCGCGGTTTGGGCCTAAGTGGTTGAGATTGTTCTATAGAAGCAAGTATTTATTTAAGAAGCAAAGATTTTCTTCCCTTGCCAATGAACCTGGTATCAATAAATATTTAGCTGCTTTTGTTTTATTACAGTTGTTATTAATGACATCATTATTTGATTATATAAAACAAAATGTTAAAAAATGCTTTTAATAAATATTTTAGTTATTTTTATAAGGGTTTTTTTTTCCTAAAGCTTTTGTTTGGGAAGTCTAAAAATACTCAGATTGTATTTTTCTATCTTTTTGTTACAGAATACATCAGAGAGTCATAGTTGTGCCAAAAGTATCTTAATGGCAGATAGAATGCAGATAGTGGTGATTCTGTCTGAGTTTTTTAATTCCACATGGCAGAAGGCAAATTGTGCAAGTAAGTAATTCTTTCATTTTCATGTTGCAGTTGTGGCTCAATAGTAGAGAGGTCAGATTTTATTTTAGTGAATTTTGAGATCTTTGAAGCTAGATAATACTTTTTATTACTAAGTTTAAATGAAGTACAATTAGCATCATGGTTTATTAGTGGGAATCACTTGGGCAAATATTGAAAGGCAGAAAAGTGTAGCAGTTGACAGGATGAATTTTGCAGTCAGATCTGGCCTTGATTCTAAGCTCTGGCACTTCCTAACCCTGACTCACTTGCAGTCAGACCTTGGGCTTGTAACTTCACCTCTTGGACCTTCAGTTTTCTCATCTGATTTGGGGATGAACTGGGGATAATAATGGAACCTATCTTATAAGATTGTGTTTAGGATTAAATGAAAAAATTGTGTAAAGAACTTAGCTGAGTAGCTGGCACATAATGTTGAAGAAATGTTAACTGTTTAATATAATAATAATTATGTTTATAATCTGTCAAATGGTGGTAATGGGAGATGGTAACATCTGTTCTACCAGTTTTGCAAGTTTATATGTATTTGTATAACACAATGAGATCTATTTTCAGGCACTCTTTGGAAAAATTAAAACTATTTCAGTTTGTGTTTTGAATACCAGCTGTGTACTAGGCAGTTCTTATTTTCCATGCCTTATAATTTAGTAAGGGAGAAAGTTATGTTTATAGGATAATCTAAGGCAGACAAATGCCTTAAAGTTATAGAATCGTTGGGGGAAGTAGAAAATAAGTTGGGGAGAATTTGAAATGACTTCCTGGTGGAGGTACCTTTTGATCCTATACCTTTATGGCTAGGCGTGATTTCAGTAAGTAGAGATGAGAGGAAGGACACTGCAGAGAACTAGGCATCATGGACAGAGACACAGAGGTGTAAAAGAGTAGTAGGTGTTCCAGGGTCTGGAAGCACAGTGGGAGGTAAAATTGGAAAAGGAAAAGAGGACCTTGACTGATACAGTAGTTTATCATAAGCATTTTATTAAGAAATGGTTGTATATTATAGTATTTTGGACATTTACAATACACATGGAATATTAAAGGCAGTAAGAAGTACTACAGGTTAAAAAAATCTTTTTTAACATTTAACCTAGCACTTTCCAAGCTTTTTATTTTTTTTATGTATTTCATTAAAAAATTACTGAAGTATAGTTGGCCTACAATGTTATATTAGTTTCAGGGTTGCAACTTAGTGATTCGACAATTCTATACATTACTCAATGCTCACCACAGTAGCTATAGTCACCATCTGTAGCTTTTTTTTTCTTTTTTTACCACAAGGACCCTTTATTTTTTCTTTTTATGGAATCCCATTGGAAGAGGAAGAGAGAGACCAGTGAGGAAGTTATTACAAAATAGTTTAGTCAAGAAGCAAAGAAAACATAAAGTAGGGCATGGGCAGGAGAAATCCGCAGTATTAAAAAATCTGTGTACCTGTCAGTCATTAATGAGTTTAACTTTTCTAAGGATTTGTCTTTTTGTTTACTTCATATGAGAAAAACTAAATGGCAAAAAGACCCCTGCTAAGTTTCTTTTCTTTGTAGTACATCATGGTATATTGAATATTGACTCTCTTAATTTTGTCTCTATTCAGATTGGTAATTTGAACAGAGGCTTGGCTGACAGTTTCCTTTTTTTTTTTTTTTTTAGAGCAAAAGCTTTACTTTTCTGGTGTAGAAGTTTCTAGTATAAATATGATTGAACAGTTTGCTTACCCTATATAGGAGAGCTATTTTTAAGTATTCTTAAGCCCTTAAATCCATTGATATAGGAAAAATATATGAATTATAATTAACTTAAAATTAATTAGAATAAATGGGATATATATTGGGGTTCACTTCTTTTGACTGGTGTGACTTAATTTTTTATACTTGAGAGGTAAAGCATCTTTTTTTTTTAATTAAAGATTTTATTTATTTATTTGACACACAGAGAGTGATAGAAGGAGAGCACAAGCAGGGGGAGCAGCAGAGGGAGAGGGAGAAGCAGACTCCCTGCTGAGCGGGGAGCCTAACGCGGGGCTTGATCCCAGGACCCCAGGACCATGACCCGAGTGAAGGTAGACGCTTAACAACTGAGCCACCCAGGCGCCCCAAAACATCTTTTCTTTAAAAGATGTTTTGTGACAAAGACTTCACTAATTCAAAGTAGCTTTCTTTTCCAGTTAGTTAAAAAAAAAAAAAAAACATTTTGCTGCATATTTACTTAATATGGTAGTTATAAAACTCTTTAGAATAAATTCTTAGGATAACTTTGCTTTTCTGTGAGCTGTCCTATCTTGAAAATATTCCTTGATTGAACTTATTTTGAAGAACAAATGAAACGCTTACTTCCTAATTAAAATTAATTTGGTCACCTGACATGTGGTCAGGTGAAAGAAGCAGGGTGTATTTATGCTATATACATGCTTGATATATGGAAAGCTTAATCTTTTACTAAAAATATGAAGGTAAAATATTCTCTTTTTCCAAAGAACAATTAATACTACATAAAATTAAAACTAGATAATGTGAAAAAATTTTTTTAATAGATTTGCACATTTTCTAGGAAAATGTAAATGCTCAGCAGTGATCTGGCATCAAGTTCTCATGAAATTGCATCTCTAGCAACCAGATCTATTAAACACTAATTTCATGGGATCCTTACTCTTTCTCTCTCTTTTTTTTTTTTTTAAGATTTATTTATTTATTTGAGGTGGGGAGGGGCAAAGGGAGAGGGAGAGAGAATCTTAATTCTCTCCGTGCTGAGTACAGAGCCAGATCTGGGGCTTGATCTCAGGACCATGAGATTACAACCTGAGCAGAAACCAAGAGCTGGATGCTTAACCAACTGAGCCACCCAGGCGCTCCCACTCTTTTATTTTCTTAATGAATGATAATAAAGGTTTCCACTTACTTGTGCACTTAAAAAGAAAATCTGTTTCCTACCTATTCATTCATTGTTTTTTTAAATCATTGACCTTTAGAAATATGTAGAAGAATACAGGGATGTTTATTCTTTTAATAAGTGGAAGACAACAGTCATATTATGTTATAATTTTAAAGGAATTGTGCCTGGTCAGAAGTTTGCTTGGATGTTGTAATTTTGTACTGTAGGAAACTAGTAAATACTACTTCAAAATATGACTGTAGGAGACCAGAATATAATAAAAGATTATTAAAAAGGTAAAATTATAAAAGCTAAAATATTGTTTAAAAGAATATTATTAAAATTAATGCACTGCTAAAAACCACCTTTCCTTTCTACTTGATCTAGCTGTGGGTTGTCTCTGCAGTTATTAGTTGATGAAAGGAAGGCTAGAAACCCAATAAAAAAGAGAGTGTCATCCATGTACCACTCCCATCTCTTTTATCTTTAGAATTCCTATGTCTTTGGATGATATTAGTCTTAGAAGGAAAGAAGGTTCTGGAAATTGATGGAGGCTTAAAAGAAATGTTAACAGCTCAGCTTTTCCAATTCACATTACAAATAACATGGAAACTAGTTCTTGTGGAGACTGCTAAGTAGTAAAGGAAATATATCAGTATTTCTCCTGTACAGAATTTTAAAGCTATTATCAAAAGTGTATTGTTGACACAGGGATGGCCTTATTATTGACATGCTTCTTAGTTATCCTTTGCATCTGACAGTTGAATAATTAGCAGGCTCACAAGCTTTGATGAGACCATGGATTGTTTTATGGTATAGTGTTTTGGTTCTCTGTTTTCTCTTTCTATAATAGACATAAGTTTAAGGTGTACAGTGTATTGATTTGATCTGTTTTGCAAAATGCTTATCACCATGGTGTGAGGTGTAATGTGTCACATAATTACCATTTCTTTTTTGTGGTGAGAATGTTTAAGATTTACTCTCTTAGCAACTTTCAATATATAAGTATATAAGACAGTAAGTATTGCTAACTATAATGACCATGCTGTACATTAGATTCCTAGGACTTATCTTAAAACTGGAGGTTTGTATCCTTTGACCAACAGCTCCCCATTTCCTCCAGCCCCTGGCAATCACCATTCTTCTCTTTCTATGAATTCAGCTCATAGTTGACTTTATATGCTGGGGTTTATTCCTGGACTCTGGATTCTGTTCCATTGGTCTCCTTTCCTGTGGTAAGAGTCAATCTTACCGGGGCGCCTGGGTGACTCAGTTGTTAAGCATCTGCCTTCGGCGCAGGTCATGATCCCAGGGTCCTGGGATTGAGCCCCACATCGAGCCCCACATCGGGCTCCCTGCTCAGCTGGGAGCCTGCTTCTCCCTCTCCCACTCCTCCTGCTTGTGTTCCCTTTCTAGCTGTCTCTCTCTGTCAAAAAAATAAATAAAATCTTAAAAAAAAAAAAAAAAGAGTTAATCTTACCTAGTTGATGAAACTCCCAGGGAAGGGCTTTATGATAATTGAGTTTCTTTTGGAACATCTGTCTTTAGGTAAATAAGAGCAATTCACAGAAAGCTATCTGTGTTTGCTGTTTTTCAAGTGACTTTAGCTCAAAATAATCCTTAAGACAAAGAGGCATATTTTAAGAAAGACATATTCTATCACCCTTCACTTACTGTGTCTTAATTCCTTTTTTTGTTTTTTTAAGATTTTTATTTATTAAGAGAGAGAGAATGATAGCATGAGAGGGTGGAAGGTCAGAGGGAGAAGCAGACTCCCCGCTGAGCAGGGAGCCCGATGCAGGACTCGATCCTGGGACTCCAGGATCATGGCCTGAGCCGAAGGCAGTCGCTTAACCAACTGAGCCACCCAGGCGCCCGTGTCTTAATTCCTTAAAAGTCAATATTAAGGGACGCCTGAGTGGCTCAGTCAGTTAAACCAGCTCAGGTCATGATTCCGGAGTCTGGGGATTGAGCCCACGTTGGACTCTCCCCTCGGCAGGGAGTCTGCTTCTCCCTCTGCCCTTCCCCCTGCTGGTGCGCGCACTCTCACTCTGTCTCTCCAAATAAATGAAAACTTAAAAAAAAAAAGTCGATAATAAAACTTCATGGTTAACCGAAAGTTCAGTTAAGCAGAACCCCTCTTTCTCATTTTATCTACATGGTAATTTACTAAGCATTTGACTCACTTATTTGTATCTTATAATTTAAAAAGTCTTTGTTTTCGTACTCATTAAACTTAATTATGTTCTTCAGGTACAAAGTTCTCACAGTTTATACTATATTTTCTGAAGCTCGCCCTATTTTTCAGAAATTGGTGATTGTCTCTGTTGTTTTCTATAAAACTAATTTTGTAAAACAGAGATCTTTATACAAACTCCTAATGGATGCCAAATACTTTATCTAAAGATGCTAATAATTTCTGTCATGATATCAACTTGAATCCTCCACACCTTTAAGAATGCTTCTAGAGCTGATGCTTGAGCCCTCACTGAGAAAGAAGCTATGCTAATCTGTCCTTGATGAGGCTGCATTGATTATCTGAGATGTGGAAAATTCATAATAACCACTTCACTTAGTGCTTATAGGAAGCTTTATTATTACTAATATTCCTTAACTTACTAATTTCTAAAATATATAGCTTCTCACTGCTTATAACATTATGCTCCCAATTCTTACAAAAGCATAAAAGAGGAATTTTAGTGGACTTCCTTTATTTTAAATCAGAAAGTCAGGGCTCTTTAATAATGAAGACATTTTAAATCGTATTGTATAAATGAACTCCTTTGTGCTTTATAATACCACTCTGTAATGATCACTGAAAAAATTTTGATGGTACTGCATTAATGTGGTACTTAACAAGATGACCAGTCTATATTAGCTTTTAGTTTAATTTTCGAATTATTTTAAATGAAAAGGAATGGTTGTCAGTAAAATAGAAGAGATTAAGTTCTTTTGTTCAGAGGAAGCTTCCTTTATAAATTATTTTTATTTTCCATAATTATCCTATAAATTACTTCTTTATAAAGAAATTATTTCAGTTACATACTGTAGAGAAGAAATTGCCACTGTTCTCTCACATTCATGTGCTTTATACTACTGCTGTAGGCAGTCCAGGGACCCACACACCCATCTATCCCTATACTGTTTGTCAGTTGCCATGACATGGCTCATTAACATAGATGTGCAATTGCTATGGATGAAGTTGTATTCCCACTACTCCCTGCAAAATGTCAACTACAAAAACAGAAAACCTGATTAATCTTTTAGGCCAATATACTAATACTCTGCATATTTGTAGTTGTATTTGTTTTTATATATTATATACTGCCTCATGTGTGAAAGGATTCAAGGCTACTTCATGGTGACATTAAACCAGGATTAAGAGGGGTTTATGTTATCTTTTTTAAAAAAAGAATTTGTGAGCTTTTTGAAAGCTGACGGAGTAACGTTTTCAAACAGTAAAGAAAAAGTGATATAAAGAAGAGACTACTTAATGGAAAGTCTGAAAGTATATTTTGTATTTCTGAAAGTCTGAAAGTATATTTTGTATTTGTATTTTGTATTACTAACTTGATGTATGATCTTCATTACATTACTTTATTTCTCTAAATGGGACTTACATTCTTGAGAAGATAAAGATGTGGAGAATGCAGGGTATAGGAGTTCACAGAGGGAAAGACTCTAGGAATAGGTTCATCAGCAGGGCCCCATGCATACCAGGTATATACCAAGCCCTGCACTAGGGCATAAAGGGGTGAATGGGGCTGAAATTCCAGCTCAGCTTCTGGAGGCAGGAGTGCCTTTTTGTGATTAATCTACCCAGAGAAGATGTCTTTTTCTAATTTGCACCAAGGAGTTTTAATATGTTAGTTGCTGCCCTCCTGTTCACCAGGTTTAAGGTTCATGTTAGTTGCCAGTACTGATCAGTTGGTAGTGACTGCCTGAATCCCCTGAGTCCCTGCGTGATATAAGACAGCTGTCGGTAGTGGAAGGAGGAGTGGTGGCATGTATTCGTTGATTCCCAGGATTGAACTTTAATAGTTTAGAATATAGATGTGAGAGGCACCTGGCTGGCTCAGCCCGAACAGTATGCAACTCTTGATCTTGGGGTGGTGAGTTTGAGCCCCACGTTGAATGTAGGGATTACTTAAAAATAAAATCTTAAAAAAAAGAAGAATATAGATGTGAATATTTTATTTATTTCACAGTGTTTGAAAATGCAGGCTCAGGAATCAGACTGAATAGGAATTTCAGGTTTTCACTTACCAGTTTTGTGGCCACAGGCACCTTCCTTAATTGCTTTAAGCCTCTGTTCCTTATTTAGAGGATGGGGATAATGATCGTGCCTGCCTCTTAATATTATGAGAGAGCATGTGCATATCTCACAGTGTGTCATAGCCTAGTGTCTCCTGTAGGGGAGGGGAAGAAACCTCTTTCCTCCACCCATTTAAGTTCTCTGGCTGGAACTCTGTAAATTAGACTGGCCAAAAACAGATTAAGAAGAGGAAAAACAGAAGTTGATTAACATGGAGCGCCTGGGTGGCTCAGTCGCTTAAGCCGTTGCCTTCGGCTCAGGTCATGATCCCGGGGTCCTGGGATCAAGCCCCGCATCAGGCTCCCTGCTCAGCTCAGCGGGGAGCCTGCTTCTCCCTCTCCCTCTGCCTCTGCCTGCTTCTCTGCCTACTTGTTCGTTATTTCTCTCTCTCTCTCTCAAATAAATGAATAAAATCTTTAAAAAAAAATAGAAGTTGATTAACATGTGCGATGTGCATGGATATATTAGAGTACCCAGTGATGGGAGTTACATATGGGAGTAATCCAAAGGGATGGTTAGAATTTGGACTTATATATCATCTTAGGCTAATCAAAAGAAAGGGGGTTTGGGACTTCTGGATGGAGGAGGCAAGTTATGAGAAGGTAACCGGGAAAAGTATGGTAAACCAGGGTTGTTGAGGCAGGTTGATTATGCAGATTTAAGTTAGAGCCTTTCTATTGGTTAGAATTGTTAGAGTCATCCTCTTCCACCTGGAAGGAGACATCTTTAGAAATGGAAATTATAAATGTAAATTTTACTTACAAAACATAATGTGTTCCTTGTTTTTAGACCATTTTTCCTGCTTCTGCTGGTTCCCAGTGGCTAATATGCCGGGGGCACCTGGGTGGCTCGTTCCGTTAAAGCAGCCAACTCTTGATTTTGGCTCAGGTCATGATCTCAGGGTTGTGAGATTGGCCCTGAGTCCAGTGTGGGGTCTGCTTGAGACCCTCCCTCCCTCCCTCCCTCCTTCTGCCCTCCCCACCTCCCACCCCCATGCTCTCTCTCAAATAAATCTTTTTTTTAAAATAATAGTCTGTATGCCAAAGAGGCATATTTTGAGGGAGCTATATTCTAGTACCTTTCACTACCTATTTGATCTATCTCTTACCCATTGAATTCTTTCTGTTTGCATTGTTACCTTTCTCCTTGATAATTGCAATAGCTTCTTATCCTGTCTCCACTCCCAGTTGAGAGAGATCATATTAGATGTCCCTGAGTGGGTATAATACACAACCGCCAGTTGAAATTAAGGACAAGAGTAGGGTGGAGTAGGTACTAGAGAATAGAAAATATTTGGAATGTTCCTTGTGGAATAATTGGTAGGGTGTCTACAAGGATTGTTTTGTGGCCCTGAGATTAGCATTGGAATTGAGTCCCTTAATTATAACCTTAGAATTTTCTATAATAATGTGCTACAAACAGAATTGGGAGTAGAGAAAGTAACCGGAGGTTGTCCAGGATTAGAGATGTTTGTGAGTATGTGGAAGGTAAGGAGGGCAAGGACTCTGCAAGAGTGAGATTGAAGTGACTGACCCCAGGTTTCAGGATATGAAGCCAGGCCCTTGCGCCTATATCCTAGATGCGTAGAAAGCAAGAAGAATGAACTTGAGCTAATGTTAAGCAAGAGTATCAAGTTGCAGAGGAGTATCATTTATTTTAGATTTTAAAAAACATGTAAAATAATTCTTTTTATTTCCAGACTTTACTTAAAGCCCCTTTATCAGTATTTTAGGCAAAATTCTTACCAGGTTGTTTCTTGGTCCCACAACTCAATAGATTTGAAAGAGCAAATTGAAAAAGGTGACCCTGTTAGATGCAATAGAAGTGAGGATGGAGGAGACACAGAACTACTAAATTTGATACAAAAAAGGATCAAAAAGCATATGAATTTAGGTTAAATTAATGTAGGATAAACAGTCTGATGCATAAACAGCGCTAAGAGTACCCTTATTAAGTCAGCATTTGGTAGCTGAAGTTCATGATTAAGACTTCGCAGCATATCAAAAATCAATTTAAATTTTATTTGGTGTATTTTCATAAAGAGAGGAGAGTGATTATTTTAAGGTGTTTGTGAAAATGGTTATGATGTAAAAAAATATCTTTTAGGAACTAGAAGGGGTAAGCTTCATGTGTTTGGAAAATTCTCTTATGTGGAACACATGATGCTTGTTTGAATAAAGAAATACTATAGTTTGAAACAGAAGATGATTGCTTGAGAGATAAATGACAGTTTATAATTGTTGCTGGAGATATATTAACATACGTTTCTGTTTTTTTTGACAGATTGTTTAACGAACAAAAGTGAAGAATTATCAAATAGCACACAATACTTCCTCAGTCTGTTTAATCAAACCTTGACCTGCTTTGAGCATAACCTCCAGGTATTTTTTTATGACACTTGAAATTAAAATGCTGCCTTGTACAAAAGCATAATAGATAATTCAGCAAATTTTTTTAGCATTGTTGATATTTATCTGTACACACAATGTAGGAGAGTAAGTAGACCAGGATTTCTGCTAAGTTCCTAGTATTACTAGCCTTTAGGAATATCATCAAAACTTTAGTTGTCTTATTTGTAAGGTGGGAACAGTAAAATCTATCCTGCCTACCTTCAAGTATTTCATAGTGAGGATCCGATGAGATATTGAGGATGAACACAGTAATTTGGGCGTATGATTGTTTACTTAAAACACAATGTTGTTCTGACAGTAATTTATCTTGACTTTGTTTATGCAGTAAGGTATTATGTATGCAGTATATGATTCTGTCTACACGCAGCTTATTCTTTGCCTCAATATTGGCCTAACTATATTTTACCTACTTTAAAAGGCACTGTTTAGTAAGGTAACTGAATTACAGTGTAAAAGGTAGCCTTTAAGAAACCTACCCTTGGGGCGTCTGACTGGGTCTATAGAGCGTGTGACTCTTAATCTCGGGGATGTGAATTCAAGCCCCATGTGGGATGTAGAGATTACTTAAAAAATAAAATCTTAAAAAAAAAAAAAGAAACCTACTCTTTTTGGTTTTTGTTCTCTCCACCTCCGACCCTTGAATGTTGGTATTAGAACTTTCGTGGTGGTGTGGTGAGGGGTGAGATTGGAACTCTGATAAAATCCTAGATTTAAAACCTGCTTAACAAGTAAGTAATCCCCACAAATAGATGTAAACATGTTTAGTATAAGATATATATGATTTCGTTTTTAATCAATGTGATGACACAGAATTACGATTTTCCCTGAGAATAATAAGAATTATAAGCAATTCCCAAGAAATGTTTTGCAAGGTGTTAATACATGGCCCATAAGAAAAGGTTTAGTGTTCTAATAAGGTTGGGAAATGCTTTACTACAGGACTTTAGAAGTTTAGTGGACTAATGTATGTTGTAAAACTCCAAACGGTAATTTTTGTATACAAGTCTATTTGACCAGTTACTCTTTGGTGTAAGTGTTCTGATGAATGTTTTAGGGAAATTAACATTTTTCCTGGGATGTTAGTTGCAAGCATTTTTTCCTAGTTGTTTATTCTTTTATTGTGCTTTTCTTTTTGTTAGGAAAATTTTAATTTTTATATTATCAGATTTATCAAAAACATTTTAATAGCTTGCAGACTTGGTGTCACATTAGAAGGTTTTTCCCACTTTGCAATTATTTTTAAAATTTCTCCTGTGATTTAGTAATTTTATGATTTCATTTTCTGCATTTAAACATCTTTTCTCTATTTATTTTGGTGTAAGATGTGAGGCGTAGCTCCAACCCTTTTTTCCTGATGAAATGAATTGTAGAAGCAAGTAAAAAAAAAATTCAGTCATTTTAAGATTTTATTACAATTGCATTACATTTTAGATTCATCATTTGGAAATAATTGACATGTTTATGATACTGAGCTTTCCTATCTAGGAATATGGTATATTCTCTTTTTATTGCAGTAAAACAGAATGTGAAGTTTACCATGTTACCATTTTAAGTGTACAGGTCAGTGGCATTAAGTACATTCACATTGTTGTGCAACTATCACCACCATCCATCTCCAGAAAATTTTCAAACTCAAGCTCTGTATCCATTAGGCAGTGATTTCCCATGTCCTCCTCCCCTAGCCCCAGCAACCACCATTATTCTCTATTTTTGTAATGTCCTCTAGCACAGTCTTAATGATTTATTTAAATTTTGTATCGGTTTTATACATTTCTGACGTTTATTCCAAGGTATTGTATCGCTTTTGGTGCCATTTTGAATGACATCTTTTCTAACCCCATTACGGATTTTCACTGGTTCCTTTCTTTTAAAATGTTTTATTTTGGAATAATTTTAGATTTACAGAAAAGTTGCATAAGTAATGCAGAATTGCTGTATATCGCTGACCTAGTTTCCCCAGATGTTAGCCTATGTTACCATGGTATATTTGTTAAAACTAAGAAATCAACATTGGTACAGAGCTGTTAACTAAATGCCAGACTTTATTCTGATTTTACCACTTTTTCCACTAATGTCCTTTTTCTGTTTAAGAATCCATTCCAGGATAACAAGTAACTGGTCACACCTTAAAATTTCTATCATATATGTAGCATTCCCTTTCTTATTCCAAATGCTATTTTTTTTTTAGTTCTTTCTTCCCTTGAGTTTCCTTTAGGCTTGTTAAATGTACTTTAATTTTTATTGATCTTTCCAAAAACTTGTGTTTGGTTTTATTTATTAGTTCCTGGGGGTTTTTTTCTTAATGTGTTTGTTTATTCTTTTGCATTTATTAATTCCTCCTATAATCTTTTGGTTAATTTTGTCTTTTTTCTAGTTCTTTCAATTCAAGGTTAATTTATTTCCAGCTTTTCTTGTTCAACAATAAAATAATTTTCAGATTGGGCGCCTGGGTGGCTCAGTTGGTTAAGCGACTGCCTTTGGCTCAGGTCATGATCCTGGAGTCCTGGGATCGAGTCCCACATCGGGCTCCCTGCTTAGCAGGGAGTCTGCTTCTCCGACCCTCTTCCCTCTCGTGCTCTCTATCTCTCATTCTCTCTCTCTCTCAAATAAATAAAAAAAAAAATCTTTAAAAAAAAACAATAAAATTTTCAGATTGTAAAGTTTATAACTTTGGCCTTTCCAATAATAGATTCTGATAAAAAAAGATTACCTTGTGTTTATTTCTAAATTTCCAATTTTAATTTTGATTTGTTCTTTGACTTAAGAGTTCTTTGGAAGATTATTTTTTAATAGGAGTGACATCATTTCTTTTGTTTATTTGTATTAGTACATCTCAAGTTTTATTGAAATTGTGACCAGTAAATGTAGCCTGTCTACATTTTGGAATTTACTGAGATATCTCTGTGATGTAATTAATAATTATTAAAAATGTTTATTTTTTTTTTTTAAAGATTTATTTATTTTAGAGAGCACAAGCAGAAGGGGCAGAGGGAGAGGGAGAGAGAATCTCAAGCTGACTCTGCACTGAGGGTGGAGCCTGACGTGGGGCTTGATCCCAGTACCCTGAGATCATGACCTGAGCCGAGACCAAGGGTTGGACATTTAACCAGCTGAGCTACCCAGGCTCCCCTGAAGGTTTCATTATATAGGCATGATTGGTTAACTGGTGATTAACTCCGTCTCCTGCTCCTCTTCCCTCCTTAGAGGTCAGAGGTGGGGCTGAAAGTTCCAACCCCCAAATCATGCTTTGGTCTTTCTTGTGACCAGCCTTCATTCTGAAGCTGTATAGGGACGCCCAGCCACCAGCCATCTCATTAGCATACAGAGGCACTCTTTTTTTTTTTTTTTTTTAAGATTTTATTTATTTATTTGAGAAAGGGAGAGAATGAGAGATAGAAAGCACGAGAGGGAAGAGGGTCAGAGGGAGAAGCAGACTCCCTGCCAAGCAGGGAGCCTGATGTGGGACTTGATCCCGGGACTCCAGGATCACGACCTGAGCCGAAGGCAGTCGCTTAACCAAATGAGTCACCCAGGCGCCCCCAGAGGCACTCTTTTTACTCTGGATATTCCAGAAGTTTTAGGAGCTATGTGCCAGGAACCAGGGACAAAGACCAAGTATCTGTTTCCCATTATACCACACTTAGCCTCCTGTGGTCTGTGACCATTTTTCAGTCTTTCCCTGTTTCTCATGACTGATAATTTTGAGGAATACTAGTCAAATATTTTATAGAATGTCCCTCAATTTGGGTTTGTCTAATGTTTCTCTCATGGTTACACTCGGACTGAGGGTTTTGGGGAAGAACACTAGAGAAGTGAAGTACCTTTCTCATCACATCCTGTCAGAGATACACGCTATCAATGTGGTTTATCCCTGATGGTGTTATCCTGATCACCAGGACAGGGTAGTGCTTGCCAGGTCTCTTTAATGGAAAGTTACCTTTTTCTTCTTCTTTCCATATTGTATTCCTTGGAACCAAGTTACTAAGTAGCAGGAATGGGGGTGGGGAAATTAAGCTTTAAGTCCTGGAGGGGTGAGCATTTCCTTAAATTACTTAGAAATCTTTCTGTAAGGAAGATTTGCCACTTCTTCCACATTTATTTATTTATATCAGTATGGGCTCATGGACATTTATTTCATACCTTGGGCTGTAATTAATTTTTAAAAGATCATGACCTGAGCCGAAAGCAGTCGCTTAATGACTGAGCTACCCAGGCGCCCCTAAATAAATAAAATCTTAAAAAAAAAAATAAAAGTTCTCTCCTATTTGCTGAATGAATTCTTTTTCATTAGGACATTTACTCTGCTGTCTATTATTTTCCCTTTGAATCATTTTATTTGCTTGGTTTTTTTCTTATTTGTTTCCTTTTTATGTGCATCGTTAGGCTCATCTTTATTTATTTATTTATTTTTAAGGATTTTATTTGAGAAAGTGAGAGCAAGAGAAAGCCTGAGTGGGGAGAGAGGCAGAGGGAGAGGAAGAAGCAGACTCCCCACTGAGCAGGGAGCCCAGTGCAGGCTCCATCCCAGGACCCTGAGATCATGACCTGAGCTGAAGGCAGATGCTTAACTGACTGAGCCACCCAGGCGTCCCTCATCTTACTTTCTTAAGTGCTTATGTGGTCAGTGTAATAGGATGATTGTACCAGGTTGGGAGAGCTGGAAGCAATCTCCCTCTTTCTCCATATAGAGTTTGGTTTCTGTAGCTTGGCTTTCAAAAGTTCCCTTAAGCAGGCACTGTGCACTCACTTCAACAAATGTTTATTGGGCGCTGATTATGTGCAAGGAGGCAGTGTTCTGGGCACTGAGGATAGAGCAGTAAACAAGACAGGTAAGATTTCTGTTCTTATGAACTATATCCTAGTAGGGGTAAGATTAATAACAAAGAAATTTTATTAAGAGTCATGAGTCCTGGAAAAGGAGTGTAGTGTACTACTTTAGATAGGGTGGGCAGGGAGTACCTCTCTGAGCAAGTGAATTTTGAGATGATCTAAAGTTTGAGATAGCCACGGGAAGAATGTTTTCCTTAGAAGCAAGGATAAAGGCCTTGGGGAAGAGAATAAGCTTGGTATGTGCAAGGAATAGGAAGAAGGCCTGTTTGGCTAGAGCACAGTAAGCACGTGTGAATGAGATATGGGGAGATAGGCAGAGGCCAAATCATGTAGAGCTGTGCAGAACAAAGGAAGAAATATGGATTGAATTTTAAGCACAAGGGGAAGCCATTTAAATCAGGAATGTGACATGGTATATGAGTTGCATGTTAAAATAGCATTCTGGCTGCCCTGTGGAGAAACTCAGTTGAACCTAGGCAAGAATGGAAAGAAGGAACCTAATTAAGAGGCTGTCACAGGAGAGAGATGATGTGGACTGGGGTATTGACTGTAGTGTTGGAGAAACATAGATTAGTTCAGGCTATATTTTGTAAGTATATCTAAGAGGACTTGCTGATAGATTGGGTAATTCCTGAGAGTGGTGGAGGCTGATCAGAAAAGGAAGAAGAACCAGGGTTATCCTAGGCTTTTGGCCCTGAGCAGCTGAGAGGATGATGGGGCCACAGGAAAGACTGGTTGTAAGGGATTGGGAGTTAAGAATAGTTTTGAACAAGTTAATATAAAATAGCTATTAAGTATCTAAATTGATTTCAGATAGTGTTATAAATGAAAGGAGCTCAGGGGAGAAGTGTGAGCTGGAGAGAGAGATTTGAGAATCATCAGATCAGGTACAGGTGATATTTAAAGCCATGAGACCGAATGTGAGTGAGTGAAGGTATAGTGATAATAAAGAAGCCCCAAAGACGGAGTCCTGGGGATACCCAGTGTTTTATAGGTAGGCTGTGTGTGTGTTTGAGAGGGGAATGGAGCCAGCCAAATTGATAGTGGTGTACCTGGGATGCAGGGGTGCAAGAGCACCTCACCTGGCTCAGAGGGGTCCCAAACAAATCAGGTTTGGCCAACTCAGTGCTGACAAAATCCAAAGGCAGAGAAATGAATGGTGGTGAAACAAGAAAGGAAGGCCAGCACTGGGAAGATGGGGCCCTAGCCTCTCAAAGACTGTCTCCAAAGTGCCAAAACTACGTCCAGGTTTATATAAGGAAAACGTGGGGCAAAGGTTTTGGGCGGATACCTGCAGGTAGTCTTTGAAGGTCAAATGGATCACTGTCATGGAATCAATCTGGGTGGGGTCTTATAGGCTCAGGACAGTCCTTACTGCTTCAGGGGGTAGTTTTGGTTCCCATTAGGGGATGCTCTGCCCTCAGGGTTCTTCCACTTGAGCCAAGAGATAAACGGAAAAGAAAAACCCAACTAAAAAGTTGGAGTCAAAAGGGAAGCAGCCGAAGTCCTCTTTCAATGGTAGCAGTGAAATTGGTGACATGGGCTGTGGCCGTGGCTCCACGCTCAGTGACTGGGCTGGGATGTGGGTTTAAATTCCAGACCAGATCCATTTGGGGTAGTAAGTATTTGCAGATGGCTTCTCTGGAAACCTGTACTGTCTTGGCGCCTGTGGAAAAACTTTTTTGTGGATGGATCTGCTGGAAAGGTAGGGCTATCATTCTAGCCTGTTGCATCTCTAGAGGACAGTGGGTGGGTGCAGAGGATAGAGGTTCAAAGGGACTGTGGTTCTGGTCAGTTTCCCTGGCACTGGTATTGTAGCTTGTATTATAATTCAACCTTCCTGTGATAAGACTATGTGTCACACCTTTATATTTTAGGTGCTATTCAAGTGCCTGGATTTACCTTTCTTTTCTTGAATCTCTTCGGTAAAGAAGTCAGGACACGAGGCACGTGCTGTTTCATCCTCTTCCCAGAATCCTACTTCCTCATTCCTTTTATTTTATTTTTTTTAAAGATTTTATTTATTTATTCATGACAGAGAGAGAGAGAGAGAGAGAGAGAGGCAGAGGCAGAGGGAGAAGCAGGCTTCCCGTGGAGCAGGGAGCCCGACGCGGGACTCGATCCCAGGACCCTGGGACCATGACCTGAGCCGAAGGCAGACGCTTAACGACTGAGCCACCCAGGCGCCCCTCCTCATTCCTTTTAAACACTGCAAAGCTTTTTATCTTTTGGCTATGCCGCCGTTTATTCAGTCAGGCCCTCTGTTGATGGGGATTTTTGTTTGGTTCAGTATTTTACTATTACAAACATGTCTTTTTTCATATAACTTGGAGTATTTGTATGACTTCACCTGTCTGGTAGATTACTAGAAATGAAGTTACTCTGTCAAAAGATATGTGCATTTTAAATTTTCATATCAATGGCTAAATTACATTCTCCCATCAAGGTTCTGTGCTCAATGTTTGATTGAACACATTTAGCTAAATGCACCATTGTTCTGTGAGAAACAGACCATGTGCTAATTCTTGCGGCAGAACTAAGGAGACTTAGTTTCTCTGTCAAATAGATGGTGAGGGTAACATTGTGGGGGCTATATCAGTTTAATTCCTTTAATTTTTCCTTTTGTCTGTCGTTCAAATATTCAGTTAATCCCATTTCCTTAGGCTATAAGGTAAAGAATAAGGGGAATAGAAAGCAAGAATGTGAACTGACTGGTTAGCAGATTTGTTCTTGAAAAGACAAATGTCAGTCTGGGAAGTGGAAAAGGTTGAGATTCAGTAATATAATATGTTATATGTTATATCCACTACCTTCATGTTAGGTCATATAATTCTTTGGCATTAGTCCCTTTTTGTTGACTAGAGAGGCCTGGATTATAAACCTTGGGATAAGAGGGTGGAGTGGGGATGTAAATTTGGTGCCTTTTCCTTCCCCTTTAATAAAGTCCCTTCTGTCTCAATAAGGCAGAGTTCAGTGTTGAAGTCAGCCCAGGCAAGGGCATATTTTATTTATTCTGTGAGAGTAGGATAGGTAAGAGCAGACATGTAAATTACCAGATGATTTAGGAAATTTTTGGTATTTAGGCTTTAGTAATTTGGTGTCTGAGCTATTGTTCTCTGTTACCAGGGGCTAGTACGGTGGTTTGCTTCCTTGCTTCCTTCCTTCCTTCCTTTCTTCCTTCCTTCCCTCCCTCCCTCCCTCCCTCCCTCCCTTCTTAAGATTTATTTTAGGGGCGCCTGGGTGGCTCAATCGTTGGGTGTCTGCCTTCGGCTCGGGTCATGGTCCCAGGGTCCTGGGATTGAGCCCTGCATCGGGCTCCCTGCTCGGTGGGGGGCCTGCTTCTCCCTCCCCCACTCCCCCTGCTTATGTTCCCTCTCTCACTGTGTCTCTGTCAAATAAATAAATAAAATCTTTAAAAAAAAAGATTTTATTTATTTTAGAAAGAGAGACAGCACGAGCGGGAGGGCAAGAGGGAGAGAGAGAATCTCAAGCAGGCTCCACACGGAGCCTGCCGCAGGGCTTGATCCCAGGACCCTGAGATCATAACCTGAGCCAAAGCCAAGAGTCAGATGCTTAACTGACTGTGCCACCCAGGTGCCCCTGGTTTTTGCTGCATGATTGCTTTTCATACCAGGTTTCTAGTCCTTGAGACCTATAATACAAGTAGTGGTTAGCAATATATTACAGATGATAAAACTGAAGCTCAGAGTGATTTATTAACCTAACATCACAGCTCAGCATGTGAACGTGCTATATTGTTTCTGTCCTCTAGGAGGGCAAATAGCTTATGTTAAAGAGATGTAATGTTTTATTGTATGTATTACATGTGCCTTTTAGGGGAACATTCACAGTCTTCTGCAGTTAAGGAATTATTCAGAAGTGTGCAAAAACTGTCGTGAAGCATACAAAACTCTGAGTAGTTTGTACAATGAAATGCAAAAAATGAATGAACTTGAGAATAAGGCTGAATCTGGAACACATTTATGCATTGATGTGGAAGATGCAGTAAGTAATTTACTTCTTTTTTTTATTATGTTAAGTAATTTACTTCTGATATATATATTTTGCAGTGTTGTTGATTGTGCCTTTAGTATCATTATCCCCTTTAGAGGTATATTGGCATCTGCCTATGTTGTCTTCAACTAGAAATAACTGGTTATAAGTAGTAAAGTTTTAGAATATCCTGGTCTGTCAAACTAAAATGGACACTAATCAAGTACTTCATAAATGAGTTGACAGTTTGGTACATTTGGTCTTTTAAGTTTGATGATAAGTGTCCTTTTCAGAGCCATTGGTGTTATATGTTCACATTTCAGTTTCTTGTGCACTTGTTCCAGATTAAAGAAGTCTCTGGTTTGCTATCATGTGTTTCTGAAACCATTTCTTAATTACTTCCTATCCCATTGCTTTTGTTCTTTATTATCATCTGAAAATTTTAATTTACTTTTTTATAGTCTGTCACCCCTCACTAAAATATAAGCTACATGAAGACAAGGACCTCATGTCCTTTTTTGTTTACTGTTCAGTATTTGGAAAAGTGCCTAGCATATGGTGGGCCTGTTAGCAATGTGTATTGATTGGTCAACAAAAAAGCCTTTTCCTCCATTGTATAGATTGCCTTCACATGGGACACCACTAGATGGCGATCATGCCTTTTTATGGGACTATGGTGCCCTGAGTTTTGAGACCTCAAAGGAAATAGGAATTATTGGCTCAAAGAGAGCTTACGGTCCAAATTGATAAACCTAATGGTTGAGAATGATGAATGTGAATAACAGTTCAGAGTGAACTATAGTGTATCACTAATATTCGACATGGTAAAAAGCACTTAATATCAAACTTAAAATGGGTGCACCATGGGGGTTTTTGGTTTTTTACTGCTCTAATGTCTGGATTATTACCTGGCTTCCAGTAGGCTTCAATAAATACTACATATATATTTTAAGACTAATAGTCTATTTCATAATTTTTTAAAATGAAGAAAAATGAATATTGATTCTCTGACATAAGTTGGACTACACAGGAAATCAACATGACCACCTGTTTTAGAACATCCTTCTTATAATAAGCAGAACTTAACAGTAAACATACAAAGCACCCCTTGCAAACCAAATCTCAAACAAAATTCAGGCAAGAACATTTTTCTACATTAAATTTGATAGTTTCCTTATATCACTTAGCATGTTTGATAGAAACCATGAGCTCAATTAAAATGAGATATTGCTGCCCCCAGATGTCTGTTTTTAATGTATGCTGCTAAATAAGATATTATCTAATAAAGTTTCCATGACTCATTAGATATTATGTACTTAAAAAATTGTTTGCCATGTGACTCTTTCATAATATCTTAGGTAATGAATTAAACATTTCATAGATATCATCTCTTGAAGAGAAGCTGTATTTAGTTGATATTTTTATTTCCATTCTAAAAATATTGCAACAAGCTCAGTGAGATTACATATGTAACATAAGAAAAAAATTTTTGTTTGTTTTTGTGAGCCTCCTCCCCCCAGTTTTACTGGAGTATAATTGACAAAATTGTAATGTATTTAAAGTGTACAGTGTGATAATTTGATACACACACACATCGTGAAAGGGTTCCCACAGTCGAGTTAATTAACACACCCATCACCTCACATAATTACCCTTTTCAGTCTTTTTTAATGAATGAAGCATGGTCGAACAATATTCATATGATACAGGTTCTCTGTTTGAGATCTATGAAATGTTGGCATTCCTTGGATGGTGTTATGAATTTAGAATATGAAATTTCTGTATGGATATAAACTTATATAATGACTGTGAACCAGCTAATTTAAGAAATTGTCTTCAACTATCAGTAGATTTTTTTAGGGATGTATATTTAGTCTAAATTCTGGATGCCTGTTATGTTAATAAAACAATTATATGAATTGAAGACAAATTAAATGTAAAGTAAAATAATTTTATTTGTTATTGTTCCAGATGAACATTACTCGAAAACTTTGGAGTCGAACTTTCAATTGTTCGGTCCCGTGCAGTGACACAGTGCCTGTCATTGCTGTTTCTGTGTTCATTCTCTTTCTACCCGTTGTCTTTTACCTTAGTAGCTTTCTTCATTCGGAGCAAAAGAAACGGAAACTCATTCTACGTAAGTTCCTTTTTACAACTTTATTTAGCTAACATCTGTATTTTAAACACTTAGGCCTGTTTTAGAAATGATGTATACTCTGAAAACTCATACTGTATTAAGCTAAAACAGCTCTTTGCTTCAAATTTTGCAGTTACACTTACTAATGGAAGAGATGTGTAAGAAGTTTATAATTATAGATAATCAAAAGTCAACACACGGTATCTTCCGGATATTTTAATTGAGAAAGCTTGGAATAAGGCTGGCAGCAACAGAAGAATAGCAACAAAGGTTTTGCAGGCTTGAAATGGCCATAGTAGGGAGAGGTAAATAGCTCTTAGGCCCATCAAAGCCATGGCAGAGCCACCTAGAAAGCCATCTAAAAGGCAGGGAGAAACTATGGTGAGCACACAGATGATTTATGAACAAATTGGAATCGTAGTTGCAAGATCATTACTTGACATACAGCGTGTGCTGAACACATATTCCCCATCAAACAGGGTAGAGCAGAAAAAGCACAAACTAGAAAATCCCATCTAGCTGAAGAAGGGTGGCTTCTAAGTGTCATGGTTTCTTATTATCAGAATGAAGATATGGGCTTATCCCTTAGTAATTTTAATTTTTTAAAATAGAGAATGTCTTTTATAGAAAAAGTTAGTTTTTTTTTCTCTTAAATATTATTCCTAGTCTAGGAACCTATGAAATAAAAATTCTTTACCTTATAAATTTCTTTTTTTTTAAAAAGATTTTACCTATTTTATTTTATTTTTTAAAGATTTTATTTATTTATCTGACAGAGAGAGACACAGCAAGAGAGGGAACATAAGCAGGGTGAGTGGGGGAGGGAGAAGCAGGCTTCTCGAGCCCGATGCGGGACTTGATCCCAGGACCCTGGGACCATGACCTGAGCTGAAGGCAGACGCTTAACGACTGAGCCACCCAGGCGCCCCTTACCTGTTTTAGAGAGAGAGCACTAGCGGGGTGGGGGCGGGAGTAAGGGGAGGGTCAGAGGGAGAGGGAGAGAGAATCTCAAGCAGACTCTGCACTGACATGGGGCTCGATATCATAACCCTGAGATCATGACCTGAGCCAAAATCAAGAATTGGATGCTTAACCGGCTAAGCCACCCAGGCACGCAGCCCTCCCTTATAAATTTCTTTCTAGCCTTTCTTCTTCATAGTTTATTTAACCTCACTTCTAATACATCTAATTAAAAAAAAGGTTACTTGCAGATCAGTTTGAACTGAATTTGTAATGTTTTGTCACCCTGAAAAGCTAGCTAATAGAGGGGAGAGTCTTTAATATGAGGGTATTTAGTAAAGCTTTTCAGAGATTGCTAGCGTTCTGTAAAATAGGTAATAACTCAGTCCTAAAAGCACTTATCTAGAATAATAACAAAGTACCGCAGGGACCTCACTATTGAGAAACTTTGTTTTTCAGGACTTGGTGTACTTTTAAAGTTTAGCATCTTATTTATCTTGCAAATAATTTAACTGTGGAAGATATTTACTGCTTCTGATTGGGGTTTTTCTATGTTTGTTTTCTAAATCACTACCATCCATCTGTTTGTACAAGCCACAAACCTTATCTTTAATTTCTTAATTCTTTTCTTTATTTCCCCATTCCCATATTCTCTCCCCCACCCCATTTCACTCCATCAGCAAGTACTGATAGCCCTACTTCCAAAAATATATCTTAAATTATCTTTTCTCTGTCTCCACTGATAATACTCTTCCCTAAGCCATCCCATCTCTTATCCTCCCATGCAGGAGTCCCTTAACTGGTGTCCCTGCTTCCATTTTTTTAACCCACTACAATCCATTCTCCATATAGTGGCTAGAGTAATTTTTTTTAAAAAAGATTTTTTTTATTTATTTCGACACAGCGAGAGAGGGAACACTAGCAAGGGGAGTGGGAGAGGGAGAAGCAGACTTCCTGCTGAGCAGGGAGCCCGATGCGGGGCTCGATCCCAGGACCCTGGGATCATGACCTGAGCCGAAGGCAGATGCTTAACGACTGAGCCATCCAGGTGCCCCTAGAGTAATTTTTAAAACACAAATCTTACTATGCTTTTCTCCCACTTGAAACCCTTCATGTGTTCCTGTTGCATCTAGAATAAAATTGAAACTTATTTCTAAGCTATGTGTCACCTGGCCCCCCATCTACCTTTCTAAACTCACTGTACCCTCTCCTTTCTTTGTTCATGATGCTGTATGTAGGCAGCCTGGCCTTCTTCCTGCTCCTCTCAAACCCAGACTCATTCACACTGCCCCTTTCCCAAAGCTCTTGTACTGGCCCTCCCTACTTTCCTTGACTGGCTCCTTGACATCCAGGTCTTAGGTCAAAGATTACTTACTCATGGGGAGGGTATGTGCTATGGTGAGCGCTGTGAATTGTGCAAGACTGTTGAATCACAGATCTGTACCTCTGAAACAAATAATGCAATATATGTTAAGAAAAAAAAAAGATAGCAGGAGGGGAAGAATGAAGGGGGGGAAATCGGAGGGGGAGACGAACCATGAGAGATGATAGACTCTGAAAAACAAACTGAGGGTTCTAGAGGGGAGGGGGGTGGGGGGATGGGTTAGCCTGGTGATGGGTATTAAAGAGGGCATGTTCTGCGTGGAGCACTGGGTATTATGCACAAACAATGAGCCATGGAACACTACATTAAAAACTAATGATGTAATGTATGGTGATTAACATAACAATAAAAAAATAAAACCAAAAAAAATCATCACTAATGTTAAAAAAAAAAAGATTACTTACTCAAAGTTACCTTTTATGACCCCCATCCTAAGAATACATCCTTCTTTTAATTCTCCTATATCTGTCATCTTTCTTAAATGATACTTAATTACTTTTTAAATTAACTTTTTCATTTATTTTCTACCTTATTTGTTTGTCTCTCCTTCTTTGTTTATCTCTTACGGTTGATTCAGCTGTAAGCTCTATCAGAATAAAGATTTTGTTTATCTTGTTCATCACTGTATCACCAGCATCTAGAAAGTACCAGGCCTATAGTAGGTGCTCAAAAATACTCGTTGAATAAAAGAATATTATATTTAATGGTAGCATTTCCTAGAGTGTGTTCCTTAAAATACTAGTCCTGTGAAATTCCTTTTTATGATCTTTATAATGTACCTGAATATAAATTAAAGGCTCTAAGATTACATTCCCAAAACTTGACAATAGAACTTTTGCATAATACCTATTAATGTTTCCTGGAAGCATTGTTTATGAATTGATTTATGAATTTAAGAAAATGCTCGTGTAAGCAAACAGTTCTTGTGCTGTTACCTCATGGACATTTTTACTTACTTTTCTTTATGCCACAGTTTTATATGCCCCCATACATTAAGTCCTATGGTAGGAATTAGGGATTAAAACAAGGAACAAGGCACAGTATATGCCCTCAAAGAACACGCTGACCATAATCCAGTTACTACAACAAATGTAGTAGAGGCATACAGTGTGGTTGGACCACAGAGAAAAAGGACTAACTCTGCATTAGGGATGTTGGAATTCATCATTAGATGATGATCTCTTGGGTAGAATTGTTTTATTTTTTATTTTTTTAGTATCCTCTGGGGTAGAATTTTGAAGGATGTAGGGATTTATCGGAGAATAAGGAAGCAAGGAAGTTGTAGGTATATGCACTCATTGGTATTGCCACCTGGTTAGTTTAATAAATTTGGTAATTAGTAAGAAACTCGATTACTTCTAGGGGTTTTAAACAGCGTAATAATAATAGTAAAGCCCTCTTGATTTAGTTTGCCTTCCAAATCCACAGGAAGCTTAAGAGTAGACTTCTAGCTTAGACTATTTTTTAGGTTAAGTTGCCCTTTAGTTTAGCTGAAGCAATACACTGGTCCAGAAAGTCATGTCCTCTTGCACTTAGAGTGAAAACCAGCAGAGACTGGTTTTCATCCTTGAGCACATATCAGAATTGTCTGCAGAGCTTTAAAGCAAAACAGAAAAGCAGATGCCTGGGTCCCTTTGCAGACCTTCTAAATCACAACCTCTACTCTCATGTTGAAAACCTCTAAAGCAGAGAGATTCCTAGTTAGCCAATGTAAGATACTTTTACTATGCCATAGTTGTTTTTCATTTCTGGAACATGAGAAACATTCATGTTTAACTATAAGCACAGACATTACCAAGTGAAATAGCATGATTTTCTTTACTAACCCTAATGACTCAGTTCCATTAGCATCATAATCAAAATTGATTGTACATATTTTATTAACAGCCATATATATTTGTGTATGTGTCTGTGCATGTGTGTATAATACAACTTTTCTTTGTAAGCCATTTAAATTTTTTTCAACTTTTTTTGACAGTTTTTTGACATTATAGAATTATTTTAAGAGAAATCTAGATTTGGATTTCTAACTTAGACTTTTAAACACATCATTTTATTATTGTACCTTATAGCACTTCCATTTTTTGAGTAGAGTACTCTTACATTACATATTTGAGATTATGATGTTCAAGATGATATAAATTAGGTCTGTTTTATTTGGTACTGCTTCTAACCAAGTCATGTGTGGCTTCAAGCAAAGTTATGTTTTTTGAGGTTGGTAGAAGAAAATAGGCTTAGGTTTTAATTCTTGGAAGATTGAATCTATTCTGATTCAAACATAGAGTTAATAAATACTATAGTTTACATAAAAATAATGAATAATTATGTTTAGAGAATTTAAATTAAAATATAATACTTTTGATTTATCTAGCCAAACGTCTCAAGTCCAGTACCAGCTTTGCAAACATTCAAGAAAATTCAAACTGAAATCTACAAGACGGAGAATTAACATCATATTTCATGGATGAATGGTGGAAGATACAGCTTGGTCCAAAAGAGGATGAACTGATTCGACAACTCAAGTTCCCTAAGAAATGCAAGGACTTCAGATTTATTTTTAAATAAGAATTTTCCATTTTTCTTTCTTTTCCATCCTTTTTTTAAGGGTTTGGGTATTTTTAATTTCTAGGCCTAGCAATGTCATCTATTTTAAAGTGTATTTGTTATAATAACAAAAGATGCAAGAACAATCTTTGTTTTATTTTGTAGGCATATTATTACTATTTGAGACTCCTGGTATCTCCTTATTAATGTAGTACTTAAGTAGCAAAGTTTTTGAAAACTAACATTTAAAAATTAATCAGTTATGGCAAAGACTTTGGAAAAAGAAATATACTTGCCAAAAGTAGCCGGTCCAAAGATTAATTTAAATTCACCATTGCAGTATTATTGTTACATATATATTTAATATGTCACACATTACAAATAATATGTAATTCAGTCTGTAGTTCCCTTAAAGTCATTTTTGAAACCACTAATTATAAACTTCCCTAGACAATTTTTAGAAGCAGGAAGGCACATTACATTTATCTTTGTAAAAAGATTTGTGGTAACTGATTTCTTACTTAACTTTTATAAATATATTTTGCACCTTATTTTTGCCTTTATTTCATAAGTAATTTGAAATCACTGGACTGCTGTATTATATTCAGGGCAAGATGGATTCTTTTTCTACCAGGGATTTGCATTGTGAATTACATTAAGTTATTTGGCAATTTATAATTTATTACTACTTTAAATCAAACATAGCATTATCACAATATATTTAAGTTGTGATTTTTTTTAAATGCAGATTCTCTTGGGTTATATGGAGATTTTTGGAGGGGAGAGAAAGGAAGGGTAAAAAAAACTGAAGGCCCAGAAAATAGATAGGGAAGGACCTGAGGGGATGCTCACTGTAAGACTGTTGAATGGTTCATGTTGAGGGCATGAGTGAAGATGAGAGTCTGATGCAGAAAGCAGTTAGGTTAAGATGCTTATTTTTTTCTAAATTATTTAAACAGATAAATGTGATATGATAGAAATGAAGTCAGATATTTCACTATCAGAAGGCAAATTCTGTTTTGGAATGTTTATATCAACTTTTTTTTTAAAAACTTCATTTCAGAATTGGGCATAGCTTTTTTTCCTCAGGTTTTTAGTGTTAGGCATTTCATTTGTTAATTCCTTCTTGCTTTCTGGGTGAAAATAGGCTTTGTTTTAAATGTTGAGAGTATGAGAAATAAGGGTTAGGTTAAATAGTACAATAATTTTAATCCCTTTGTATACTATAAAATGCTCTATAATGAGACAAGAAAGTGTTTTTAATTTTTTTAAATGTTTACTGTATATGCAGAGTGAACAGGAAGGCTCATCTTTGGATATGTAACATATCCAAAAGCTGTTACAGTTTTTCTAGTATGCTGTGATCCATTTAAAATGTGCTGGGGTTTATTCCACGGTCACTGTTCATGCTGCTGATACTAATAGCACTGTCTTGATTTGAAGCATATAGTTGAGGGCCATTGAAAGCAATCTTTCATTAATGCAGATAAAACCAGTTTATATATGCAGAGTTACAAAATGGCATATTTGAATCTGTAAGTAGTGACTCTTTGATCACCTTTCAATGTTACATATTTCTAAAAACCATTGCTTTTGGATATGGTTGCTAATAAGCACTTTAGAAGAGAAAAAACAACCTTGACTATTTTTCTGGTTGAATCATTGCTCTTTAGAAGTAGCATCAACAATAGATTTCAAAAATAAGTATTAAGCATATACTAAAATGTGTAAATACTTCATTTTTTAGTCATACTGAAAAATTCTTTTGCCTAGTTTTAAATTCTGAGACACATAGCATATATGTGTGCATTAGATCATCTTTAGCTTTTTGACACTTTGAAATAAAGGAAGTAATTTAAGGAAATTGCAGTGCCGTATTTGTTTTTGTTTTTTGCTTTGTTCTGCTTTGAAAGAGAGAGAGAGAGGCAGAGAGCAAGTGGGGGGAGGGGCAGAGGAGGAGGGAGAGAGAGAGAATCCTAAGCAGGTTCCATGCTCAGCATGGAGCCCAGTGCAAGGCATGATCTCATAACCCCAAGATCATGACCTGAGCCAAAAATCAAGAGTCGGACGCTTAACTGACTGAGCCACCCAGATGTCCCAAGCCATATTTGATTTTTAAATGCATTTTTAAAACTTCTGAGTTTCTGAGAGGTCTGCTATAATTCTTGTATTTGTTCTTCTACATGTAATGTTTTTGTTGTTTTTTGGCTACCTTTGAGATTTCCTCTTAATTTTTGATTTTCAGCAGTTTTACTATGTTGTGTGTAGGTATATTTTTCTTTGTATTCTCCTTGGGATTCTCTGAGCCTCTTGGATCTTTTTGTTGTCTTTTATTAATTTTGGAAAATTCTCAGCTATTCTACTATCAAATATACTTCTGCCCTCCTCTCTCTCTCATCTCCTTCTGGGATTCCAGTTACATTTTGTTAGGTGATGTGATATTGTTCCACAGCTCTATTGGATGCACTCTTCTGTTATATTTCACTCTGACTTTCTCTTTGCATTTCAGTTTAGATCATTCCTTTTTTTTTTTTTTTTAAGATTTTATTAGAGAGAATGAACAGGGGGAGGGGCAGAGGGAGAGGGAAAGAATCTCAAGCAGACTCCCTGCTGAGCACAAAGCCCGACATGGGGCTCAGTTTCACAACTCTGAGATCATGACCTGAGCTGAAGTGAAGAGGCAATTGCTCAACTGACTGAGCCACCCAGGCACCCCAGTATTTTGTTTGTTTTTAAAGATTTATTTATTTGAGAGAGAAAGAGAGAGCACAAGTGTAAGTGGGAGGGAGAGAGTGAATCCTCAAGCAGACTCCCCACTGAGCGTGGAGCCTGACATAGGGCTTGATCCCAGGACCCTAAGATCATAATCTGAGCCGAAACCAAGAGCTGGCTGCTCAACCAACTGAGCCACCCAGGTGCCCCAGATCCTTTAGTATTTTAATCACAGTTATTTTGAAGTTCCTGTTGGATAGTATCAGTATCTGGGCCATCTCTGGATCTAGTTCTGTTGACCACTTTATCTCTTGACAACATTATTGTCATTTTCTTCTTCATTTTTAATTTGTCTTATAATTTTTGATTAAATGCCAGACATTGCATGGAAAAGAACAGTAGAAACTGAGATAAAATAGTATTCATACCTGCAAATGGGCAAACCTTTCTATCAGGCTATTAGTATGGAGTAAACTGAATATCTCCTACCAGTAGTTCATCTGGGTTTGGGTTTTATTGTTAGTATCATTACCTTCAGTACATTATAGGTTTCAAATTCCTCCAGTGGTGGACTGCTGCTACTTTGTGTTTGGTGTGTGGCCTGAAATGCCAGAGAGTTTTTCTCAGTGTTCCTAGTTCACCTTCAGCTTTCAGCAGACTGTGCATACCTGTGCAACAAATGGGATCTCTCTCCATGGTCCTGTCCCTCCCTCTGCTATAGAGTTCTGTTGCTGGTTTCTTTCTGCAAGGCTTATGGTTGGGGCAGACAGTCTCATGCAGCTTCTGGGCTCTTGAGTTTTAGGGTGGGCCTCCCTCTCCCCATGGCAATTAGACTCTGCATTGTAATGGGGTGAGATCTTAAATGGGAGTGAGTTTTCTGTCCCTCTCTCACTGGTAGCAGACCTCTGCTTTGTATCAGTGAAGGATCCTGGGGACAGGTGGGTTTCCTGCGTTCCTGCAGCATCTGATGACTTTTGCTTCAACTCCTCCACACAGTCAACCTTTTCTTGGGACTAGGGGACAGGAAGGTTTTGTACCACTCCTCTAGTGGCAGATGGCTTTTTCTTTGTATGGAAGATGGACATGGGTTTCATGCCTCTCTCCCAGTGGTAGCTGGTTGTCATCTGCTTATCTCACCAAAGGGAGGCTCTTTCAATTCTCCTGATCTGCCCCCAGTCTTTCTTACACCCAGGGAGGCCTATGGAAAAGTGCCGGCAAATGGGGCAGATGCCTTGTATCCCTGGCCCCCAGAGATTCTAAGTTGTCATATTAGCCCACACTTGGTCTTTAAGCTTTTGTTAACATTTCAGTTTTTTTTCCCTCTTTCTTCTTTGGCTGCTACTCTTCCTCCTGTACTCTGCCCAAAGCAAAACAGTTTGTAGGAGCAGTGCTTATGTCTTTCTATATCCTAAGTGGGACTAGAAGTCACTGATTGCTTCTGTGTTGTCAACTCTTTTAAGTTTTTACTCGACAGCAAATTGCTCAGCAGTTTGTTTGTTGAATACGTTCAAAGAGGTAAAATAGGCAGTGAGGGCCTTAGCAAGTTGACTGGAATTGTGGCGATTGGAGGTCCCAGTACACTGCAGTCATGTCTATTATGTCCTATAATGGAGGTGTCATCATGGCCATGAATGGGAAGAACTGTGTGACCATTGCTGCCAATAGGCGCTTTGGGATCCAGTCCAAGGTGGTGACCAAGGACTTCCAGAAGATCTTCCCCGTGGGTGATTGGCTGTACATAGGCCTGGCTGGGCTCACCACTGATGTCCAGACTGTTGCCCAGCACAAGTTCCAGCTGAACCTGTATGAGCTGAAAGAAGGTCTATAAAGACAGAAAGTTCTCACAAGCAGGCCTACATTTTAAAAGAAATACTAAAACAGTTCTTCAGGCAGGAGTAAAATAAGCCTAGATGGAAACTCAGAGGCATTGGAAGAAAAGATTGATGTAAAGGGAAAAATATATGGATAAATTTAAATAATAATGACTGTATACAACAATAATATTCTGTGGGGTGTCTCTGTATTCTCTCTCTCTATTCATTAATCTGTATGTGTGAAAGAATGAATAGAATGAAAACAACACTGGCATAAAAGTCAAGAGGGGATTATTTTTGGAGTCAGAATGTTTTAAGGTCATTGCATTATCTGAAAAGATTTCTTTAGGCTATTCTGGAAGTAGAATGGATTGCCAAGCAGGTACTGGTAAAGAACTTTGTTGCTTTTAAGTTGGACTGAATATACATTCTGACTCAGATCCAATTCCATTCCTTTCATTACATCTTTGAGGATTTTCTTCTGCTCTTGACTCTTTGTATTTCTTTTTTTTTTTTTTTAAAGATTTTATTTATTTGACAGAGAGAGACACAGCGAGAAAGGGAACACAAGCAGGGGGAGTGGGAGAGGGAGAAGCAGGCTCCCCGCCGAGCAGGGAGCCCGATGCAGGGCTCGATCCCGGGACCCTGGGATCATGACCTGAGCCGAAGGCAGACGCTTAACGACTGAGCCACCCAGGCACCCCTTGATTCTTTGTATTTCTTAAGGAAGCAGCTTGCTATAAAAGAGAAAGCAAGGGCTTTAGAATCAATCAGACCTGGGCTTAAACTCCTGCTTTTCCCCTTACTTGGGCAAGCAATTTACTTCTCTGAGCCTTCACTTTGGGAGGGCTGTGAAAATGGGAGGTAGGAATACTGGCCTCACAAGATTATTGTGCAAATTAAATTAAGTATACGAAGAGCCTACAGTGTGATGCTCAATATCCAGTAGTTCATATTGCTCAGTAGGTACTCATTTTTCCCCTTATGGACTGCACTGTGCAACTGGCACTTGATTATTCACCCTCTCACATTTTTTCCCAGGTTCCTTATATTGGTGATTATTATCCCTCCTCTCCTGACTCGACTGTAATCTTCTCTAGTTCCGGGACTATATATCTCCCTTTCCTCTCTTACCCCTAGTTCAGTGAATAGTGTTTGGAGGAAGAGTAATACTTGCTTGAGGAGAACACGTGTAAATGAGATGAAATACATTCCTGCACCATACATTATGTTGGAAGGTATCTTCGTAGCAGTTCTAGCCAGAAGGATATTTGAGACCTTGAAGAAAAGTCCTTCAGCTGCCCATGAGAAGCATAAACGGTGAAAACATGTTTAATGGAAAGAGTGAAGTGCCATTTTACCACGCAGGAACCCTCCAGTTTAAGCCCTGAAGATTCCAGGCTGGAGGCAGTGCTGAGTATCATGGATTGCTGCCCTTAAAACTAGCGTCTTAAGT